TTTCAAAAAATTGGGCCCTTATAAATAAATATTTTTAAGTTGGGCCCTCATCCATAATTATTTTCAAATTTGGGCCCCGATGTGTAATTTCCCCTTTTTTTATTTTAATTATAGAAACATGTAGAATTCAAAAAGAAAAAAGTACATAGAATTTAGTTAGATGAGTGTCGAGATATTGTCGATCAAAGTTTCACAACAATCTGCAATGTGGTAAATATTCAAAATTTACAAAGTCTTTGATCAAGGATATCTCGACAATCACTTGACTAAATTTGATAAGCTTTTTTTTATTTTAATTGTAGAAATCTGTAGAATTCAAATAAAAAAAACCTTATCGAATTTAGTCAGGTGGGTGTCAAGATATCTTCGATCAAAGTTTTACAACACTGCAATGCGACTTCTATTTGATAGATGTTAAATTTACAATACTTTAATCGAAAATATCTCAACAACTATCTGGTCAAATTCAATAATCTTTTTTTTTATTTTATTTGTAAAGATCTGTAGAACTCAAAGAAAAAAAACTTTGTCAAATTTGGTTAAGTAAATATCAAGGTATCTTCGATCAAAGTTCGAGAAAATTGTAAAAATTAGAATGATCGGCGGGGGTGTGGCATTATCAAAAAACGGGTGTGGAAATATCAATTCCATAATAATAATATATTTACTTTACTCCAAGCACAACACAACGCTGGCTTTTCGTGACTATAGATAGCTTTGCCTACAGCGCTTCTAGTAGTTGCATTAATTTCATATATTCTAACCTATTCGCATATAATAAAACTGTATAAATTAAAGATATCGTTGTGATATTATATGTAACAATACTCACATTATTATCCCAGGAACTAACTGCTAAATAATCGGCTACTGGTGAGAATGCCAGGCCAGAAACTCCATCAGTAGGAGGCTGTGGCACCTATATTTTTGTGAATGCGTTATTTCGAATTTAGGCCTACTCTTGCAAAAAATACAAAAAGATAAATAATTCCTACCTCGTAATCTTTAGCGGTCACCGCGTTTATCATGCTTATATTATGTCTGAGCACCAGTTTTTCAATTTTTTTTTTATATTTTTTTATTGCTGGTTAGACTATAATGTTGTGTCGAGTGCAATCCTCAACAGAATTCGTATAATTCGAATTTAATATTCCTTGTTGAAATTCACAAACTGATTCGACGAATTTTTAAGCGATTACTTATATTTCGACGAATTTCGACGAGCAATTTGATTTCGAAGACAATTTACTTATATTTCGACATTTATTAAGAGGATTTCTACTAGGTACATTATTCGTATCTACTGTGTTAAAACCTTCCTTTCATCAGAATATATATTTATTGGTGAAAGCTGCGCTCACAAATAGTCTGAATATAAATCTAGGAATCTGTATGTCGATTGTTTATATGTACGGTCTACAAACTGCGTTATATATATATATTTGTTATATTTTTCAATTCGTGATACGTACGGGACGCATTGGCGCAGACAAATGCTAATATATCTATTTCCATTTTTAACCATCATTGTCATATGGTTAAATTTTTGGCACCAAGTGTTACTTTCTGCGCCTTGGTATCCGTCACGTTGTTTTTTATTTTAATATTGTTTCCCTAATTTGGCTATAGAGGCATTGATCCATATACTATATGCCCTTATATAGATATTGACAATATATTATAGTTATTAGATGCATTATCTGCGACTTCGAACCATTATATTTACTGTTTACTGAGGATGCAACGTAGCCAATAACAGTGTTGCTTCAAGTTTTTGGTAGTGATTACATAAGCTGACGAATAACGTTGTCAATGCTAAATAACTTGGCTAATAGATTATTGCTGCAGGTAATTATTCAGCGGTGAGGGTTACGCATTGGAAGTTTAATAATTGTAAGCTAAAGTTTTATCCTAATATTATCCGAGTTATTAACAGTTAATGGGGAACCTTTTTGATGACACAGGTAGAGCTTACGAATTCTTTATTCGAATAATATTCGAATAATTTGGACCGCCAAATGTCTAATATTATTTGAATAAGTACTATTTAATCGAATAACATATACTAATAATTATATCTACTACTATGTGTGAAACAGCCAACGACTGAAATTTCTCATGACGAATAATCAAATTATTTGAATAAATTTGTTTATTCGAATAAGATTTGTTTATTCAAATTATTTGTCAGATAACTATTTATTCGAGTATTCGTCGAATACGAATATTATTCGAATAACGAATATGAATACGAAGCTCTAGACACAGGTAATTTTAGTAATTTTAGACGTTTGCTTGTATAGGCGTGACCATCCCAAATTTGGAAAATGATTACGCAAAAATAACAAAATCGAAGAAATTAAAAAAAAAAAAGGCATTAAATATCAAATACCATATGGGCGCGTAATAACACACATGGGCCTTATTTCGAAAATTCCGTTTTTTTGAAAATCGCAAAATACTGCCCATGCGCGTCCCGAAACAACGCGCCCCACATATATAGCCAGGAAAATTTTTAGTAGTTGTAACTTTCTTTAAAATTTGGATAATGGATCGAATTATCGCGCATGTGCGTTCCGAAATAAGTGCAGATGCACGTTATTACGCGCCTATACGGTAGATAGTTCTTATTAATTTCTAGCTTTCACTGTTTGTAAAATCTTAGTAGTCTACTGTATACGTATATTCGATTTTACATCTAATCTAAAACCCTGATATTTTATACAACTACTGTTCTATTAGAAGTTTTCGCAACTTCAGAACTTTGATATATAATATATTACCGTACGCCACTGACTATAGTACCCCGGGTACTATTCAATAACCATCAAATTTCTTGAATAGTACTCGCCCGGGTACTAATGGGTACTATAATAGGGGGTACATCGTGAAATTTTTTTTATTGCAGTTCTGCGCAGATTTGCAAAAAAATTAAAAATGAAAATCTGCGCAAAACTTCAAATTTTATACTATAAATGCAGAAATTAGATGCAATTCTGTGCAAATCTTCAAATTCTAAAAATTTTGCAGATTTTTGCAAATTTGCACTTATTTAATTTTCCCGATGTACTTTATATAGCTTCAATATTATTTAATAAGGATTTCAAATCTAAATATATATATATATAGCTAGAATAATACCCGGGTCTTATTCAATTTTCTGAATCACGAACCCATGAATAGTATCCGGGTCTTTTTCATGGGGGTATTATGACAAGGGGTACTATAGTCAGTGGCGTACGGTATATATATACAGTATAAACTCTTTATTATTATAAAATTACAGTTAGACCTCTCTAAATGCATAGCTGTGGGTGGCCAAAAAATCTTGCATTTAGAGAGGTATTGCATTTAGGGAGGTAAAAATCTATAAGTGTTATATGAGTTGGGACTATGCAAGGCCATGCATTTAGAGAATATGGATTTAGAGAGGTCTGACTGTATTGCAAAGTAAAAATAAAAATAAAAAAAGTGTTAATTGTTATTATTCATTAACTTATCATAAAGTACAAAAAACAAAATTTTCAAAAAATTAAATCTATTTATTAAATAGTTATTTTTAGCTTTTATAACAAGTAGGATTTTGTTGACAAAAGCTTGTACTTTTGCTATTAATATTATTAAAATGTGGTATAAAAACTTAAGTTTGCTTAATTATTTAATTATTTTTATTAGCAAAAAAAGAATTATTTGTAGTAATTTTTATAAAAAAATTTTAAATTAAATATTAATAATTACTAAAAACTTTTTTGTTTAATTTTATAACTACAATATATAAAATTAAAACTACTTTATATCTTCTTTATTCTACTCTTACTCTTTTTACTTTACTCTCAAAGGTTTTATCTCTTCTTCATTTATCCAATATATATTACTATTTGATCTATTATACTCAAATGCCTTTTAGTTAATTATCCAAATTCTTATTAAAATCTCTAATCAACTTTATGATTAAATATAGAAATTATACTATATTAACTTTTTTACTTGGAAAAAAGCATACCAAATATTCTTGAATCCTGTATAAGGATTGGACCCATCCAAAAAAATCTAACCCGGGTTACCTGTCGGTTAATTGCTAACCTACTCAGGTAAGTACTCAAGTAAAGTATAGTTCATAATAATACAATTTGATTGGTTAAGACATTATTACATGACCAAGCACATAATAAATAGTGTCTGTTCAGATAAAATATAGAAAATATTTTATTTGATTGGTTGCCTTTTTTACCCAAGTAGCAAAATTTTTATCTGGTTATATAATCTACTCATGGATAACCTGAGTGATCTGGATATGAGACTAATCCTTAATTCTGTGCTTATCCAATCTTATTAACAACTTTTCTCTTATCTTTACACTAGAGCTTATTGCCTAGAGCATAGCAGAGAGTCTTTTAATTATATGGTAAGTAATACAAAAATTACATTTTTGACGCATTTTAACCAAAAATAGTGACTTTTTTAATCATCTCTTTTTAAATTTTCTGAACTTTCTTGTATTCAACTAAGTCTGTATAAATGTTATGAAGATCATATCAGAAATGTAATTTGAAAATTTTTTGTCTGTTCGCACATGTGTTCAAATTTGTTAATTTAGTGTAACAAAATATACATATTCATGCGTTTGTATAATAAAATGATCATTATATAATATACTCCAGGCTCACAATGCTATGCATTTTCCTAGTATAATATATTTATATACAACTGCTATATAATATACTAGATCAACTACATTTTGACTCAAACTCTTGTTAACATCTTTTAACACCAAATTCAAACAAAATAATATTTAATTTCAAACAAATTGATATTTAATTTTAGATAAAATAATATTTATTTATTTATTTATTTATTTAAAGTGATTCTGCTTTTATTTATTTGATTGAATTGCCAAATAACGCTGTAATACATCAAAATAAACTAACATTCGTGACTAATAAAAACTCACCAAGCCTAAGCAATATAGCAAAAATTCAATTTGATTAGTTAAAAAATATAAACAATATACATAATGTAGATCATTATTGTATATAACAATAATGTAACCATTATAAACAAACATTTATATAATTGGTTAATTTCGTCAAAATTTTAATAATACTACAAACCAATAATTACACATGAGAAATTATTGCATAAGGTTAGAAAACAAATAAATATGTATAAAGTGAAATGAATGTAATTTATTATTAAATACTCAACTCATTAAAGAGTTAATGTGTAAATAAATTATTGGCGAAACTATCTTTGTTCTTTATTTACTCCTTTGAAAAAATCAAAGTAATTCGATTTTATTTCATTTTATGATCTTTATTAGAGATACAACACAATTCTAGCTTATATAATTAATAAAACAATAATACTCACATTCTATATATATTATCAACCTACTACTTAACTCAAAGTTACTAATGTTTTAACAAATATTAGTAAAATTTTACATGTAATGTCTCAATTTTTTGTTGGCTATTTATAGTATTTGGAGTTTACATACAGTTAATATGATTAATACTACAATAAATAGTAAAAATATTCGCTTCTAAGTGAAGTTCTTAAATTACTGGTTATTTTTAATTATTTTTGTACAATGAATATAAACATTTTAACAAAGCAAAAAATAGCTTTGTAGTGATTTTTATTAAATCTATTTGTAATAATCATTTGAAAAGACCAAAGCTTTTTAAAAAACACGAATAATTTAAAAGTTTGCATAGAAAATTGCTTTATCTATTTTAGATTCAGTTAGTGCTTCTAATGTGTTTGATTTGAATAACCCAAACTAATCTGGTTACAATAAATTTAGTATATGAGTCATGACCTATATACTAAATTTATTATATCCAGGTTAGTTTTGGGTTAGGAGTACTAGATCCAGTTTTTCGAATATTTATTTTGCATTACAACTGTCAAAAATCTACAAAAAAAATAAAATTAGTTTTTATTTAAAATAAATAAATAAATAGACTTAAATCAAAATAATTAAAACTAGTGGCTTATTTAGTTTTAGGTTTCCCAGAGTATTCAAATCCAAATCTTTTTAAAATGTCTATTACTGTTTTAAGAAAGCACAACCTGTAAAGAAAAGAAATTGTTAGTTTTTATTGTAAAAAAGAAAAATCAAATTCAGATTAAAAGAATAAAACCTGATACTTATCATTTATTATAGTTTTTTGGCAAACCATTTAGATCTAGTTAGTGCTTCTAATAGGTTTAATCTGAATAACCCAAAATTGATCTAGCTATAATAAATTTAGTATACGGTCATGATCTATATACTAAATTTATTATAGCCAGGTTAGTTTTGAGTTAGGAGTACTAGATCCAGTTTTTCGAATGTTTATTTCATGTTACAACTATTCTAATAAAACAAAAACTCCTAAAAAAATATTAGTTCTTATTTAAAAAAAAAATAAACTCAAATCAAGATAATAGAACTAGTGCTTATCTAGTTTCAGGTTTCTTAAATCATCTAATCCAAATCTTTTTAAAATGCAACCTGTAAAGAAAAAATATATATAAAAAAGAAAAATCAAATTCAGATCAAAAGAATAAAACCTGATACTTATCATTTATCATAGTTTTGTGAGATCTAATTAGTGCTTTTAATGAGTTTAATTTAAATGACCTGAAATTGATCTAGCTATAATAAATTTAGTATATGGGTCATGATCTATATACTAAATTTATTATAGCCAGGTCAGTTTCAGGCTATTCAGATCAAACTCATTACTTATTAAAAGCATTAGATCTGGTTTTTCGCATGTCTATTTTATATTACAACTATTTCAATAAAACAAAAACCCAAAAAACTTAGCTTTTATTTAAAAAAAAAAATAATAAACTTGAATCAAAATAATGGAACTGATGCTTATTGTTTATCTAGTTTCAAGTTTTCTGGATCATCCAATCCAAAACTTTTTAAAATGCCCATTTTTCAGAAATTGTTTTTATGTAAAAAAGAAAAATCAAATTCAATTCAAGAAATTAAAAACTGATACTTATTGTTTATTATAGTTTTGTGAGATCTAGTTAGTGCTTCTAATAGGTTTGATCTAAATGATCTGAAATTGACCTAGCTATAATAAATTTAGTATATAGATTATAATCTATATACTAAATTTATTATAGCTAGGTTAGTTTCAGGTTATTTGGATCAAACCCATTACCTATTAGAAGCACTATATTCAGTTTTTCAAATGTTTATTTCGCGTTAAAACTGTTCTAATAAAACAAAAACCCTTCAAAAAAAATTAGATTTATTTAAAAAAAAGAAAATGAACTCAGATTAAAATAATGGAAACTGGCACTTATATAGTTTCAGGTTTCTAAATCATCCAAATCCAAATCTTTTTAAAATGTCTATTTTTCACTATAACTTGTTTCAAGAAAGCGCAACCTGTAAAGAAAAAAAATTGTTAGTTTTATATGAAAAAAAAAAACCAAATTCAGATCAAAAAAATAGAAACAGATACTTAACATTTATTATAGTTTTATAGCAAACTACTTAGATCTAGTTGAGATACCCTGGCAAAAATATTACAGCAATACAGCATGTTTGCTGTATAAGTAGAAATGTCATATATTATATAAATGCTATATGCTATATAAATGTTGTATGCTATATGTATACCATAGACTATCATTCACCTAATGAGTTTGCTTTAAATAACTTGAAACTAACTTGGTTATAATAAATTTAGTATATAGATCATGATCTATATACTAAATTTATTATAACCAGATCAGTTTTGGGTTATTCAGATCAAACTCATTAGAAGTACTAAATCTAGTTTTTCGAATGCTTATTTTGCATTACAACTATTTCAATAAAACAAAGACCCATAAAAAAAATGTTAGTTTTTATTTTAAAAAAAAAGAAAATAAACTTGGATCAAGATAATGAAAACTGGTACTTATTGTTTATCTAGTTTTTTTTAAAATACACTTTATAACTGTTCAAAAAAGTGCAATTGTAAAAAAAAGAAATTATTAGATTCTGTTTTGAAAAAAGAACTCAAACTTGAAATATAAAGATAGAAATTGGTATTTATTCTTTATTCCTTTCACAGTTTTATGCACAGATCGTCTAGATTGAATCTTCAAGTGCCTGGTTTAGTTTTAACAAAATAAAGATCTACAAAGTATTAACTCTTATTTTAAATAAATAAAAAAAAAGAATATAGAATTAAGAATAAAAACTGATACTTAATATTTGATTCAGTTTGGCGATCTGCCTCTTAAAACAAAAAAAATAATTAATAACAAGTACTTTTGAGTTTAGTTTGTAAAGTACAAGTTAGCAAAAGTCCAACCACTACTCTAGCTTCACAATTTTTAGTTTGAAAGCAATTAACAGGACCTCAAAATATATATGAAGGGATAAGGTTTTACAAAAATTACTAAATATAGAAGAATTTGCAGAAAAAAGCTTAAAAATAAGCAAACTAATTACTATAAATAAAAATAATCTGCATAAAAAAGATCAAAAATAAGCAAACTAAAACCTAACCTATTTATGTATATTTTGGGGTCCTCAATTAACACCAAATTAATTTATTTATACTTGCCTAATTTGCTCTCTAAGTGAAGTTTTTAGAGATACTGATCTATACTGATCTTTTTTTACAGAAAATGTATAAAGAGTTAAAAAATATTATGATGTAATTTAAAAAAAGTTTATTATGTAAAACTATGAGTTGCCAATTGATAATATGGTTTTTTATAGTAAAGATTACTTTAAAAATTTTTTTTATATTGTGTAATATAGTAATCTTTAAGCCAATCAAATTGAATATCTACCATGCTAGCCTAAGCCCAATATAACTAGCTATAACAACTGTTAGTCCCTCCCAGAATTCAAAACTTTTTTTGAATTTTGTAACAACAAGATTACTCCTCCTACTCCTCAAGAGTTATAACAGGTTGTTGTATACTATATCAGGATCTTTTTTTTCCTTTCTAACTTTTCATTCTTTTTAAGAGGCACAAAATAAAAAAGAAGGAAATTTAAAAAATAAACAGAGTAAAAATGACTAACAAAAACCAAAATAAATGCCAAAAAAAGTACAAAAAAAATACACATATTTTAAAAAAGAAAAAACAAAAGAAAAGAAAAATCTTAACAAAATGATATAGCCATATTATAGCTAAAAATTATATAATACTCTTAAATTTAGCTCTACTCTAGATTTAGTTTGTATTATATATACCATAGTACATTAACTAAAAGATCTCTATTTTGAATACCCCTTATATAAAATATCCAGATATAATATATGGTGTAAAATTATATAATTCTGGTAAAATTTCAAAATTTTGGCCCAGTAATAGTCAAAATATCTCGGGTATTTTATAAGTTTTTTTTCCAGGTATTTTATATTAGACCTGGGTCTTTTAGTCAGTGCACTATGATAAATGTCTTTGAAGTAGAGTTAGCTCTGCAAAAATTATTATAAAAGTTCTCTAAATAGTCAATGTTAGTACTTGTTCTACATGACACAGTTTGATTCTTTAATTGCCTATCTTAATTTATATCTTAAACCAGGTGCTGCTATCATCTAAAAACTCATATCTCAAGTCACCTGCTGCCGTAATTAGAGTTTTCAGGCTGCCGAATCCATGATTTTTTGTGACTTCTATTCTCAATTTGAAATTGGTAAACAATGCAGATTTTTTGGAAAGAGTATGTCAATTTTTCCACTTTTTGTTTAGCAAAAATTTTTTAAAAAATCCAAACCAAGTAAGAATATGAAGAGAGAGTTTTTGGTTGTGGGTTTTTCAAAATTTCCAAAAGAGAGTGTTAAAAAAATTTGGTTTGTTGTTCTCCACTGTTTTGCTATAGATAACTTTGTCAATAAAGAAACTTTGTTACTTCACCAAAATTTCATACACAAGGGTGCCACCTCTTGCTAGTTATCTTGTATAATAACACTTTCGGCTTGTATGTTGAATATATAGAGAAGTCTTCAGAGCAGAAGATTGATCTCTACAAAAACTATACTTTATGTTATCCTATTGCACCTTAGGTGTAGGCAACACTTCAACAAAACTGTTTTTCTTTAGTAGAGAAATTGATCCAAGTGATTGTTGAGGAGAGTTGAATTGACAAAATGACATTTAATTTTATATAAAATAATATTTAATTTTATAAATTTTATACAAAATAATATTGAATCTTATAAATTTTATACAAAATAATATTTAATTTTACAAAGTGATATTTAAATTTATACAAAATTAATATTCAAATTTGTACAAAATAACAATTAAAATAAGATTGATTAAATCATAATATCTTATAATCTAATAATCCAGTTTGGATAATTTTGGTACAGTAGATTTTTGCAATAATTATATTTATAATAGTCACAATCTCACTATAATTACATTAATTTTTTGCTTTTATTATATAATTATAAATTTTTACTTATATTAGTTACAATTTTATAATAAGCACTTAAATTATCTAATTTTAGTATATTTGTTTTTTTTTTTTGTTAAGTGTTTAGAGACTAGAGTTTATTGACATTTTAAATATTCAGATTAATTGATCTGGTACAAATTGTATTTATAGTGACGAATTTAATCTAACTGGTCTATACCTAACATATTATATAACTCTAGTACCTTTATATTCAGCACTACTATCTACTTTATTTATTATTAGTAAACTTTTAGCCCAAACTTTCTGTTTTACCTAAGATAGGCATAGATTGCATATACATACCTCAACCTTTCTGTGTCCTACACACTCCAGATTAGATATTAGAGATATTATATCTTTAAATCGAAGTTAGTACTTGGGTGTTACCTCTATGACTCTGGCAGCCATCCTGGTCAACCCTTCATCTCTAAGAGATCCAGTCCGAACAATATCCTGGAACTGGTGCCGTCCAAGTTCTATTCTACAGCATTATCAAAAGTTTCTGCTACCTCTCTACTCAGATCTTCCCAAATGGGTTTTCAGTTACCCTGGCTTTCTAGGATTTACACAGTATTGATTTATTATAAAGTTTTTAGTTTTTTTTTTTATTTATATAAAGAAGAAAATATATAGTTGTAAAAACTAAAATACTTATGTTTCACAATTTACTAAGCTGATTTTAATGTTTTAACCACTATTTTAATTGCAAAACACTCCTTTACAACTTTTCTTAAAGCTAAAAAAAGTTTACTTTAGTAAAGAAAAAAAGTTTTTTTGAAAAACTCCAAATTTAAAAATTTCAAAAACAATAAAAAAATATTTATTATACAGTATTTTGTTATTAAATCTAAACATGTTTATAAACCTTGAACTGAACCTGACTAAACCAAAACTTTAAGTTTAAATTCAGTTCAGGTTTATAAATTCAAAGTTTAGTTTAGATTTAGATTTAAAAATTTGCAAAATTTGTAGTTTAGATTTAGGTTTAGGTTAAGGTTTATTGAACCTGAACCTGAACTGAACTGAACCTAGAAACCCTAATCTGCGATATAACAACCTGTGATATTTGACAGTATTCTTTATAAAAATAAATTACAAATATAAATTTAACAAAAATTTTTATAAAAAAAATTTTAAAATACAGTATTATAAACAAAAATTTAAAATAATTTGTATAATACAAATTATAAAAATTAAGCCTATTATAACTTATACTTAAAATTTAAACAATTATAACTTGTAATTTATTGTGCAGTATAACTAGTTTAAATAGTTTGTTTTTTAAATTATTTTTTTTTATTTTAAAACCAAACCAATTTAACCCAATTTAACTAAATAAAAATATAGTACAGTATAATTTGCTAAAGTTAATTACTTCAAGATATAAAACGCTGTAAATAATTTTACAAGCCAAGTAATATGTACTTAGAAATATTATTTACAATAAATTTCAAAATAATTTTTTTATATGAACGATTTTTAAAATTTTGTAAAAATGCAAACATTCCTACTTTAAAAATGGCACAGCTTGCAAAAAACAAAGTAAAAAAAAATTTATATAAGATCTTTGCCTTGAAAATAATCTTATAAAATATAGTAATTACTATGTCTCATAATGCTAAAAATTTCATATTTCAAATATATATAATTATTCTTCGTGTTAATATGTATAATGGGGTGTATGCTTGAATACGTAGGGTAAATCTTTTCAAATACTAATCCTGCGGGTCTGCTAATTTCCCCAACACTTCACTATCGGAGTACCATAAAATTAATTAATAAAATAGATACTCCAATATATGAATAATTAGTAGAACCAATCAAAAGTGTGGGGGACCCAATTCTACCTGTTACCGTATATTTATAGTAGAATTTTATTCGAGATATAGAGACAAAATTTAGCAAGCAGGTTTCAAAGAAATCGAATGGAAAAGAAGCCAGGTATTATAAGCTTAATAAGATATAGAGAAATTAACAAGCTCCTGTATCATAAGAAACAGACAATATGTAACGAATCCAAAATTGTATGTTTAAAAGAATTTACGTACATATTTATGTCTAAAAGCTTTATAGTGAAAGCCTATTTCCTAGCTCTTCTGATATATGATTTATATCCATCAAATTTATGGTACGTAGACACATTGAAGTCAAATAAAGTGAAAATTCTATTTTACGTGCCTTACGATCAAGAAATTCATAAATTTTATGGCCTTTTTCTTTAACTACTTATATATCATTAAGATAGTTTGTAATCCTTTATTTCAAGAAGCTTTCTTAAAGCAAAGTTAATTTCTTTCAAAATTATGCGAACGGGCCTTATTATGTGGATTAATTATACTGTATGATAGCTAGTTAAAATTGAACGTTCCATTTCGGTGTACTTTATTTTTGACCCGGTTCAAATATACCGTTCTTTCTCTATGTTAGAATTTCAAGTCAATTTTTTTTTTTTGATTTGTTAGAAAATTAAATAAATTAATGATATGTTATTAACATACCTCTTCCAATTTACGTAATATTTTTATTAAAGTTTTGATTTTAATGCCGTAAGGTTTGGGAACTTCTTTAACATAATGCCTCATGCCATTCAATAGATGTATAAACCCATTCTGATAAAAAAATATACACATATTTTAAACGTTTGTTCATCCTTGAATAATTGATATTTTCACTCACATGATCTGTGTGTCTGGTATATGCCTCATTCCACGTCAAAATTAAGTATAAGTGAGCGAAATGCTGATGTTTAGGAATGGCACTAAACACATTTTTAACCCATAAATTAAGACTGAATTTGGCCATTTTATTTTCAGCAATTTTTTTGAAGAAATTTAATTCCTATTTAAACATATATATTAAATAATTGTTCGTAATAAACGCGTCTATGTAATATAATAATAGTACCTCGTTAGGGCAATTAGTCTGCAAAACTGTATTTGGCAAAGTGAGATCTTGAATTCTCTTGCCCTTTTTTTATTTTTTAAGAAAAAAATTTTTTTTAGAATTTATGAATAATATTAGGATCTAAACCCCAAGTATTATAAAAATATACCAGACTAATAGGCTTAACCTTTAAATAAACGAATAACAATTAAATATAAAAATGCTATGTATAATAGAGAATATATAATCTGAAGACTCACCCGTCTAGAAGGACGAACAGACGACGTTGAGACTTGTCGAGGTTGCTGAACAGCATTTTAATAAGTATAACAAGTAACTTTCGCGACAAAAAAACTCTTAAATAATATAATTACCCATTGTTCTCTAAACTTTTCAATGTCATAACAAATATTTATGAAATCTACGAGACGTTCGTCATGCGCGTTTAATTCTACGTGCTTATATAAATCTAATCCACGTTTTAAGAGATCCCACATGTGTGCCTTGAGAATATAAAGATCTTAGTGATATTTTCAATGTGCAAGAATGAATAGAGAATTAACTGGCTTACTGGTGGACTCGTATCATTGGGATAAGTCTCTCTCCAAACAGTATATAGCTTTTGCTCTCCTGAAGTTCTGTGGTTAATGTCTTCTGATTTCATTTGAGTGGCCCATTGAAGAAGCTCCTCATATGACAGTTTGCATGAAAACGTCGCTACAAATCTTTTTGCCCGGTTTACTAGGCTATCCTAATTTATGAAACGTTAAAGCGTTAGCGTGAACTTTTAAATAAAAAAGACACTTATGAACGTGTATTTAATTAATATCTAACTCTAGGCATTTTATACTATAGGTTTAATGTTTTATTTAAGTAAACGGGTGAAAGAGTGAAAGAAACCTGCGTGTTGTCTAAGCACACTGGAGGCACCTTCAGCTTTTTACGTCTCATAATAAGCGCGCTTTATATGTAGCAAAAAAAATATTAAGAAAAAGCAATTTTATACGTGTGGTGATCAGCTGATTGTGGACTTGATCGTCATAAACTGGTATTGAAAAATAATTTACCTATATCACTCCTATATCGATATACGTTGTACATTTTTTTTTATGAAATGTTCCCGATGCATTTACGTATTTCAAAATGCGTTTACTATGCAAGTCATAATACAAAGTTTTTTATAAATTCAATTTTTTATTACAAAATAAAATCGTATTCTTCTACATCAAAAAATTTTAATTTCGCAAAAATAGAAAGTAAATGGATAAATAAATGGAAAAATTCTAAAAATCTTGCAAAAAATCAAAATAATGAAAAATTTTATGTTTTGGCCATGTTTCCATATCCAAGTGGAATGCTACACATGGGCCACGTGAGAGTATATACTATCAGTGACACTTTAGCGAGGTTTAGAAAAATGCTTGGATACAATGTATGTGTGATCATAATGTTAATTTATCTGTGGTAATAATTTATAAATTTATGATGTAATATTTTATTACACTTAAAAGGTTATTCATCCAATGGGATGGGATGCTTTCGGTCTTCCCGCCGAAAATGCAGCGATGGAACGAGGCATTCATCCTGCTGATTGGACCATATCTAATATATCTTCTATGAAAAAACAAATGGAGAGAATTTTAGCAGATTTTGATTGGGATAGAGTACGTATATTAATTATATTTCTAAAAATATATTTTGATTTATTTAATGTATGTGTTCTTTGTATTCCTCCTAGGAAGTCACCACTTGCAATCCAGATTATTATAAATGGACGCAATATCTTTTTCTTCAAATGTATAAAGAGCGTCTTGCCTATCAAAAAGAGGCAATTGTCAATTGGGATCCCGTTGACCAAACAGTTCTAGCCAATGAACAGGTACCTAATACTTAAAGTAATTAAATCAATAATATTGTATTCAATTATTATACCTTATTTCGTCAGGTAGATTCCGACGGACGATCCTGGAGGTCAGGCGCTAAAGTCGAACGACGTAAATTAAAGCAATGGTTCTTCAAAATAACAGATTTTGCCGAAGTACAGCTTAAATTAATTCTTTGCATTTTGTAGCCAATATTTGTACATCTTATAATTGTTGTTGAATTTTTGAATATAGTCATTATTAAATGATCTTGATTCATTGGATAAATGGCCGGATTACGTAAAGCAAATGCAAAGAAATTGGATAGGAAAATCTAAGGGTGCTGAATTTGATTTTATAGTGGTATGCACATTATTTATAACAAAAGTCTCATATACATGTATACAGGGAATTTTACAATTATCACTTTTACCCAGGAATCAAAGAGATCCGAGTTCACAGTTAAAGTATTTACAAGTAGGCCTGACACTATTTTTGGAGTACAATATCTAGCCATCTCTATAGACCATCCTCTCTTGTCAGAAGAGTATGTATTTAAATTATTTTACATTTAGTAAGTCTGACTTATGTTTGATAATAATTTCTTTATTTTTCATGTAGGTGGCTTCCACAAAATACTTGTTCTCAAGTTTTGCAATTTGTAAAAAACATTAGGCAACAACAATCATTTGAGTTGAATGATGTAAATACTGGGCAAGGTGTTATATTTGTCTTTTTTTTTCTTATAGTTATTTTTATATTTAATTTTTAAGATTTGACATATTTGTCAATTGTTTTCAGGAATGCATACAGGCGTTTTCGCAAAACATCCAATTACGGGCTTATCCATACCCATTTATGTAGCATCCTATGTGGTTCCAGATTATGGAACAGGCGCAGTGATGGGCGTTCCTGCGCATGACGAACGCGACTGGGAATTCGTAAAAGTCAATCGTATTATTTCTGAGGAGAATATTAAAAAAGTCATTATGCCTGTAATTCAAGATAATTGTACGTTTGTCTCTATGTGAGAAATTTTTATTTTATCTTATGTTCCGTGGAAACTATATTGACATGTTTCTGATAAAATGAAAACGATAGCAACGCAGCATAGCAACAAGGCTTTTACTTTGCGTGGAATATTGACAGCGGAATGTGGACAATATGCTGGTCTTTCGAGTGATAATGCAGAGAAAGCAATCGTAGAGAATGCACAAAAAGCAGGATATGGTCGCTGGTCAGTTCAGGTAACTCACATTTCTCAAATTTTGATATGAAATGCATTCAAAAAATATATATATATATCATATTAAGAAATAAATATATAGTATCGTCTTAGAGACTGGCTAATTTCTAGGCAGCGTTATTGGGGTGCACCCATCCCGATCATACATTGTGCGAAATGTAATGTAGGTACTTTATATAAAGAATTCCATGTCTTTTTTTTTTTTTTAACAAAATTTTTACATGAACACAGGTAGTTCCCGTTCCTGAATCTGAGCTACCAGTACTCTTGCCCACTAATGTCACCTTTTCTGGTCGTGGAGGCTCGCCTTTAAAACAAGTACAAGAATGGATAACTTGTAAATGTCCAAAGTGAGTCATTTTCAAATTTTTGGGAATGTTGGTTATTGATGATACTAATATATTACTTATTAGGTGCCAAGGTCCTGCTATAAGAGACACTGATACTATGGATACATTTGTTGATTCATCATGGTATTTTATGCGATACACGGACTCAAAAAATTCAAATCAGTAAGCCATGAACCGAAAGAGATAGTATCATAAGTTAAATTACTGTAAGTGACTATAGTAACGCATTAACATGTGATATAGGCCGTTCTGCTCTAAGAAAGCATCTAATTTACTTCCAGTTGATGTCTATATTGGTGGCATAGAACACGCAAATTTGCATTTATTGTACTCTCGGTTCTTTACCAAATTCATGTTCAAGCAGGGTATGTATACTGGTCAAGATGAACCATTTAAGCAATTAGTTACACAGGCATGTATCATTATTATTTGCAAAAATCAATCTAAAATTTAGTATGTACTAACATGATTTTATAATTTCATTTAGGGAATGGTTCATGGAAAAACGTTTAAAGATCCAATATCAGGAAGGTTTTTAAAGCCAGATGAAGTTGATTTATCAGGTAAAAAAAAAACAATTCTGTTAATTTTTGTTATTTACATTGATTAGCGTTATCGGACTAATTAATTAATTTAATTACTAAAAGATCCAAATAAGCCTATACAGATTTCAACGGGGATAGCTCCAGTAGTATCATTTGAGAAAATGTCTAAAAGCAAATACAATGGAGTAGATCCTGAAGTAAGTAAATTTATAATTCTCTGAAAGAACTTATCTTTTCATTTCTTATATTTCGTTTGTATTTGTTTAGACAACTATAAACAATTATGGTGCTGACGCGACAAGATTACATATACTTTTCAAAGCACCTGTATCTGAAGTTCTTGAATGGGAAGATGCAAGTATAGTTGGCATGCAAAGGTGGATTGCTCGTGTTTGGAGATTGGCTGAAAATGTTTCTGAAAAGACTTCGCCAGCAAATATTCATAGTCTGAATTCTAACTTGAATCTATTGAATAAGGAAGATAAAGAAACATATAGGATAATAAACGTTACGATAAAAGAGGTTAGTTAGTACTAGTTGTTAAATCATACGAATATTCATTACACTTGCTAATCAAGTAATTCGAAATTTATTTATTAGGTTACAGCAGATTATAAAAGTTCGACATTCAATACTGCAGTATCGTCACTAATTAAATTAACAAATCATCTGACAAGTATTTCCCCATTCCAAAATGAAAATGCATCAAAAAATTCCACAGTTGTTTCGCCAATATATGAGTATGGAATAAGAACATTGGTAAAAATGATGGCACCGATGGCACCTAGTATAGGAGAAGAATTTTGGGAAATTTTAAATAAAGGAAAGCAACATACAACATCTGTATTTGAAGAGTTATGGCCCGAGGTTAACACTGAATGCTTAAGTGCCAATGAAGTTACTTGCGTCGTTCAAGTGAGTTTATTTTTTGTTCACTATTAGGTTTTTCAAAATTTTTTATTTACTATATATAATTTTGTCTATCAGATTAACGGAAAAATGAGATTTTCAATTATGATTCCATCAACAATTTTACAAGACAATCTCAGCATTGAAAAATTGATTCTAGATTCTGAGAGTGGAAAGAAATGGATTGGGAAAATAAATGCTGATAAAAAGATTAAAAAAGTCATTCATGCCAATGGAGGAAAAATTGTAAACTTTGTTTTCGATAAACATTAAACGTTGAAATAGAATAAATTTTGATGTGATTATTTTAATTACAACACGTTTTTCAAAGTATCAAGATTATATATGCACTTCTGCTCACTAATTTAAAAATGCCATATATCATTAACATTTAGTTAAAGTTCTATTGTCCTTTAAAGTTCAATTTGTATTTTTTTTTTAAATCGCTACATTTGATTAAGACCTGTTTCACGCTGACGAAAATAGTCATTAACGTTAAATTATTTAAGTTTTACAGTATTATAGACTAATATGTCTTATCACGTCAGACTCTCTAAATACGGTTCATAAAAGTATGTGTGTTGCATTTCATTTAAAGAGGATGCAAGTGCATTTAGAGATGTGTATAAACTAATATATACGCTTATACGTAAAAACAACTTTAATCATTCTTACCCTTAAAATATTTACATACTGTAATAAAAACAATTATTGATTTTCTAGAAGCAGAAAAACTACACATATTATGTATAAGCATAATTACCATACTTTGTTGCCAAAGTAGATGAAATATAGTATGGCATTAGCATTTATTATATACAGTATATTAAACACAGCATAAATTTTGTCAATATTAAGTTTAATCTCGGTAACTTTCAACGTGCACGTTCATTAGATGTAAATTTTGTTTTTTTCTAAAAATTTTCCAAATATTTTAGAGAAATTATAAGTTGATTTTGTGGTTTACATTGTTTTATTCTATGTAGACCATACGATAAATAAAAATGTGGATTAAAAATCATATATATCTTATCGACATGTGCGTTTATGAATAGTGATCTGTGAGAGCTATATATTCTCTGGGAAAACGAAACCAGTACGTATGTGTATTTATGAACTCATTTATAGTGTGTATTTAGAAGGTATTTGAGTAATCACCACAATATCTACAGTACAATCTCCGACGATATTCTCCTGACAGTAGATTTTCCCGACAATAAATAGCCACGTGTCTTCTCTCCGACAAAGATGCTCTTCCAACGAGTGATCAATCAACATCTACACCCAGCCAAATTTTACCCGATAATTTTAGCGTTAGTAAAATACTGTATGAGATCTAGGGTGTTCTCAAGCACCTAAATTAATAGGTCGGAGCTCAATTTTTAATTGGTGAAAAATAGTTTAACCTGTCAAGTCTTCTTCATGATGAAAAAAAAGATGATCGAAACCACCTTTTTTTTTTTTTTTTTATCAAAGTTCTAAAATTTAATATCCGACGATCTCATCTCGATCACTAGCTAATCGCATAGAGAGAGATGCTTGAAAGTACCCTAAAGATTTTAAAATGTGGATAGGCAGTTGATGTTGTCAAGAAAAATCATGTCGGAGAATTGTTACAAAACCAACTTAGGGTGTTCTCAAGACCTAAATTTATAGGTCGAATTCAATTTTTGGTTAGTGGAAAAATATTTTGGCCGGTCAAGCGAGTTGATGAATAAAAAGATGGTCGAGTTGTGTTGATTGGCTAAAATTTAATATCCGCCTCAATTAATCACTCTTAGAGAAAGCATTTGGATAAATTTCTTTATGGTTTTTAAATCGAAGTATATCAGAAGTATATCAAAAATTCACATTTCTTTTTTTCCTTCAGCACATATTTAGCGTTTGCATCCATTTAGCAATACATTATTTATATTGTAAAGAAAACTTAACATTGACATACACGTGATAATTATTATTCGGGGTAGGCTTCGAACAATGGAGATTATGATGCATTCTCACTAAATAATTCATTATAAGCTTCATTACCATAGACTTAATTTTCGTGTGTCACAAAGCTATTTGTTCTTCGAGTCAACTGTTCATTTGTTTCTTTTTTCTCGATCTTTCTCATGTTCAAGATTTTTGATGCGTTCTTCTTGCTGTTTACGGACTATCTCCAACAACTTTAACTTCTGTTCAATGTCGTTAATATAAGTTTCTTGCCGTCCATTATTATCTCTCAACCTCTTTAAATCGTTATTTAGATTTCGAATTTTACGCGTGAGTCTGCGTACTTCCTTTTCAAACCTATAATTACAAGAAATCAAAATAAAATTGTATCCATATCTACTTATCATTATTATAGTTACCTTGCTTTCTCTTTCTGGACTAGTTCCAAGGCTTCAAATATAGATGAAGTGCCAGAAATTTGTAAACGTGTACGACGATTGTTTCGAGTCATTTTGTAGAAATCTTTTTGCAGAAGAATTTATTCTTACGAGTTCAGATTAAAACATATATTAGTTCATATAACATGCACAGTAAAATTGGTTACCAACAGGGGCCAATCTAACCTACTTAGCTAAATAATTAAATCTGATTTTGAAAATTAGACGTGATCCAAATATAAATCACGAGACCTTTAAAAATTGTAAAGGGACATTAGACTTATTGCCAGTAGAATGACTTGAAAGCCCGTTCAAAATTTTTTACACTATCCCGATTCAATTAATATTAATATTTTTGGATTCTGATTAGTGAGTGGACCAAAAAAAGTTACTCCAAAATGACCAGTCTCAAAGTTTTACCTATATTCATACCGCAGAACGAAATCTGGTTTTCGAACTATATAACAATAAAATTTTTTAAATTTGTGATTTCCTTAAAATATCTTTAATATATATCACAGCCTACAGTACTTCGATAAAACAACCCCTTCGTACAATATATTAGATATATTCAACTACTGTATGAGTGTCGCTTCCCTATGTCATAATATGACATAGGGAAACGACTAGAGATGTTATGTGGTCCGGCCTTAGACTAATAGACCACAGTTAGTCTTAAGACCGGTCTGGACCTAAAAAAAATCGGGGTTGCTCTAAGTCTTAAGATTGGATCGGTCTGGACTGATCTAGACTAGTAAAGTCTTAAGACTGAAGACCATAATAGACCAGACTAGACTTGGACCAAAATTGACCAGACTGACTGTTAATATCCATAGTCATATTATTAAATCTATTACATAGGTAGTATTAACCATTTCACCGACAATTTAGCTCGACTTAGAGTTAGTGTTGGCTGATTTTTAATTATCAGTGAAATCTACCAAACCTGCATAAGCACCCTGTATAATATCCCTTCCTTGGGTACCATTCAGGTTTTTTTTTTAATAAGAACAGAGATAATGTAGAAACAAAAACCTTTAATATTTTATATAAAAAAAAGAGCAAATGCCATTGAGATCTTGCATAAAATATTAACTATTCCGTTCTATTGTTTTTCAATAAAGTGCTAAATATACTGTTAATTGTATAGTAAAAACGTTATTTTTATTATTATTGTCTCTTTTTTTTTTATTTTAATTTATCTAATATATCGTTTCTACGTATTTATAAATTTACCGTAATACGTATAATGTTTTACATTTTTTTTCAAAAACTGTTAATATCATATAAAAGTAATTTGTTGGTTGGTTCTCATAATTTAAAAAAGTGACCTGCCACCGGCTTTTAATTTTTAAAAATTATATATAAAAATTTATAGCTGTTTTCATAAATTCTGGATAAGTTTCTGAGTTTGGCCGAAATCGGTTACTTATTGATTCCGACTCGGTAATTTATCGATTCGGTCATCTAAGTTGTTCATCATACTGTATTTCTATCATTCGCTTGATCTTAAATTGCGTATATCTGATATCTGTTATTGAATCTTTTATTCCCTTCGGTTGAAAAATCATTAAACAAATTTTATCAGGTGTCCCAGAAATTATGAAAATAGCTAAGTAATAACTCTGATGTATTTCTTAATGTATTTTCTTTTAGATAATAAAAATGCAAAACTTTTTATTTGAATTCATTTAAGAGTAGCAAGTAATACTTTGTAATTGCAATAAAGCTAAATAATACAGCATTTTCAATTATTTCTTTAGCCTAAGATAACTTCATAATATCTCAGAACCCTAGTTAAAATAATTAATTAATTAATATCGCGGCTGATGCTGAAATTTTGGAACTATTTTTATGAGATTTAAAATTTTTCGGGTGTTTTTTTAGCAGGGCTTATATTTTTAAATCGAGCTTCCAAATTTCAGCATCAGCCGCGACAATTAATTATTAAAAATTTATTCATAATATACAGTATAATTTTGTTAGATACCAGATACTTAAAAATTAATCAATTCACTTTCATATTATTTGTATTATTAGTTACAATTGCTATAACTTTATTAATTATTTATTAATTTATTTTTAGCTACCATACATATACAACATATTTTATTTATATAAATACGATAAATATTAACGTTAAATCCAAACCAATGCAAATTTTAAACCTTCACCAAAATCTAGAAACTAAATTATTTTAAAAATAAATAAATAAATATATATATATATATATATATATAATTTATATTTAGAATTTCGATATTGGGATTTTGGCATATATATTTAAGATTTTAGCATTAGGTTAGGTTCGAAAAAAACCTTATTCGTTTAGGGCTTAAAAATCGGGTATTAGTTTTTAGACATCAGTTGGTATCGGTTTGGGATTTTAGAATCAGCTTGAAATTTGGCACTAGTTTAGGGCTTCGCAAGTTATAGAAACCTTTAGGTCTGAGCAAATAGGATTCGGCCTCATAGGCAGACTTTCGTATGATTGGCTGTTTAAATCAATTTAATTTTTACTTTTCAAAAAAAAGAAAACTACTACAAATAAACAAAAAAGAAGTATATAGAAAGTTTTATTAGGGTTGTAGGACTCCACTATTAAAAATAATCAAAATTCTTTTTTGTTTTAGAGAAGTTAGCACGGTGATAACCTAATTTTAAGAAGTCGTTATTATGCTAACTTCTCTAAAACAAAAAAGAATTTTGATTATTTTTAATAATGGAGTCCTACAACCCTAATAAAACTTTCTATATACTTCTTTTTTGTTTATTCGTAGTAGTTTTCTTTTTTTAAAAAAAAATACTTTAAACTGTATAAATAATGTAAAATTAAATTGATTTAAACAGCTAATCATACGAAAGTCTGATGACTTTAATTGTTATGTAATTAAAACCAAAGTGACGAAATAATTGCAATTAAATTCACTATACCACAGAGAGAGTACCCGATTTTTAAAACTAAAAATCACATGTATTCAATTACGTAAAAATTGACTCATTATAACTGCGCCACCAATCAATTTATTAGAGGTGCAGGTGTAACTTGTCGTAACTTGCCGAAATAATATCAGATATCAGATATAGTAAATTACGCGTAAATTACTATTTGACTATAGTTACGACAAGTTACGGAAGTTCACTTGTACCTCTACAATTAATTGAGTTAAAGAGTTGCAATTAATTTCCCCACAATCAATTATTCGGTAAGCCTGATGTAAACCAAACCCGGTAATTTGGGACTTGAATTACCAAAGGTGTTTACTAGACTCAGAAATTGTGACGTAAGTACGTTGCAATCAACAATCAACACTAGCGCTAGCTAGCTAGAACGCGAATCATAAGTAAATCGATATTTTAAATGTCAATCCAGTTCGGGTTTGGACTGCTAACCACCGCCGCAGTGAATTAAACTATTTACGGTTCCTAATTTGAAAGTGTACCCAAATTTGCTTTTAGTGACATTATAATCTAAATAACAGAATAGAAAGATGAGCGAATAACACCTTTAATAAACTTTAGTCTAATTAATTATCTTTAAAGCAACAACATTTTGAGTGGCGTATATAAGGCACCCAGATCCACCATGAATCAGTGAACCACGGAATCTTTATTAATCAAATGCGGGGGTTTTTTTTACATAGCTAGACTGCTTATGGTAAATACAGTGTGTGCGCACTTTAAAATTTTTTCTTTCACAATATAACCTCTCAGTCGTGTACTATACCTGGGGTCTACTAAAGGTTTAAAAAATGGTGGTTAAATGAAATAGACCTGGATCTTGTATACGCACTTTTACGGTGTAAAAAAATCTTATTACTGCATTTACACAATATAAAGTATATTTTGGAACCAGATTTTTTAATTTTCTGAATATATCAAAAATATAGCAAGAAAAAAAAATCCAATTGAACATTTAAAAAACTCTATAAAAAGAAAAAAAAAAATTTATTTTTTGAATTCTTTTTGTGGCGCAGCCTTATTTTTCGATTCCATTCGTATATACATTGTTATTATTAATAATTCCTAATTTCTAAAACAAGCATATATATTCTATAATAATTAAGAATCGTGTTATTTAAAGCTATTTTGGTTCTGTTTTTTTTTCTAGTGCCTTGAGTAATCACGATTTTAGTAATACCTAATTATTGAATGCTTGATAACATTCTAAAAACAAAGAATAAAGGTTTCTTTCCTCTTCAAAAGAATTATATGTAAGAAAATGGTGGAAGGAAAGAAGGTGGCGAATATATATTGTATATTAATTAAAATATAAAATTATTAAGTCTATATATTCTGGATAAAAGAAAAAAAAAAAAAAAGCAATTCATTTTCATTGAATGAACTGGGAGAAACAGTATGGGGCTTATTATGAGCAAACGCATTTAAAGAAATATATTACTGTACACGTCCACATCCTACTCCCTGTTATTACTTCATTGAGTTATAAACACTTCTATTTTAGGTAGTATTAATGGATCATAAGGCAAATCCACATCAGGTATCTCTTCCCAATCCATCATCCATTCTATTGGCATAATACCACCAATAGGTGATAGAACATATTTTGCCAATTCTTTTGAGCATCTTATTCGTTCACTCCATTTGACACTCGAATTTAAGGCACGCTTAGCAAGCCGCCCTCCAACAGGATCCCATGTTTCCCAACTTTGACAACAACGTTTCAATTTTTCAGGCCAACGTTGACATAAACGTTCTTTTTTAATAAAAAAAAAAAAAAAGTAAATAAACATATTAGAGGATGAATTAACAATTTTTTTTACAATTTTACCAAGAGATGAACTGTAGAACAACCTTGTATTCTTACTAGTCTCTCAACTAATTTAACCAACAGAAAATGAGCAGTAGCTTCATCATTTACAAAATCACAATCTTCCAAATCACGTAATAAATCAGCAATTTCATATCGTGGTCTCCAATAATCTTTAGCCTCCAATACCGGTGGACCCGTTTCCCAACGAATTTTGGCTATACGTTGTAATTGTGGGAATAAGTTGTTTGGATCATAAATGACGCGACCAAAAGCGTAACAACGTAAATGAATTCCATTTGGATCACTTGTAAGCAGATGATATATGTGTATTGGTGGGTGAATGAACATTTCAACCTTTTTTTTTTCAAAAAAGAAAAATTTTCAAATCGAATGAATTTTTTTTTTTATTTGAATAACATTTTAAAAAGATGATATTTTACCTCTAATCCGTCAATCAAAATATTTCTTCTACATTTTCTTTCACTTTTGATAAGGACGTCAACGTCAACATCACTAAGAGCATGAATAACAGTTACATGAATTAATAGAGGTTAAGGTTGTGTAATACGATGATTTTTTTTAATTGTTTTTTTTTTTTATTTATTTAAAAATTAACCTAACCGAAATAGGATTCAAAAGAAATTTTTCTTTTCATGATTTGAACTTTCAACAGCATCGATAAAGTAGATCTCAAATTTTTACAATAACTTAAAACGTCGATCTCACCTGTGGGGACAAGCGTTTCCATAAATTCTGGAACCATAGGCAAATAATCCAAGGAGGTCGTCACCGAATTCTAAAAAAATAATAGTAATAATTATGATGATAATTATAATTATAATTATAATTATAATAAATCATAATAATAATTAAGAGTTAATTATTTTAATCGTAAAAACAAAATCTCATTTTTTATACATAAAAATATTAAATACCAACCATGTGTTAAATTTACTAATATTTTCGCATAGATGCAATCAGTATTTATAAGTTTTCCTGTTAACGACCCTGTGGAAGAAACAGACGTTTGAGTCTGTTTCGGAGGCATAGAAAAAAATCCCATAATGGGCGAAAGATATTTTGAGGAGGAATTACCAAAAATTGGAGACATGAGAATTATTGAGGAGAGGATAGAGAAAAAAAGGGAAGGAAAAAATAATTAACTAAAAAATGTGGGGTTAAATTTACGATATGTATGGGGAAGGGAAAGTGATGATTTGCGAGACAATTTAGAACGGAGCATCAAAGACCGTGAAAATATCGTGAAAGTTCAGATGAATTATACCAGAAACAGACAATGTGGCTTAATTCGCGCCACAGTTCTACCTAAGGAGTAAAAATCATCAATTAACTGTTTCTTAATTCGTTCGTGACCTGTTTCCTGCCCCTGGTTTGACTAACCCATCTTTGTAATATATTTTTGTGTATACATACGAATCAAAGCACGATTCTTTTTGACATTGTGATTGTTCGAACTATTATTATTTTTTTTGAATTAAAATTTTGCGCAGCATATATGCTAATAATGAATGAATGCTAATATTGACGCGGTAAAAATACCTCATCAAAGCTATTGGCGCAAGTAAAAAAAAAAAAAAAAAAAAAGGAAAAAAAAAAGCATAATAAGAGTTAGTACAATATGAATCGTAGATAACTTTTTTGGAGTTAATATAAACTTTTTTATTCTACTCACCAATAGTTCAAAGAGATCCCGATTTCTCGAAAAAATTTCGTGTTAAAATATTAATTAGTATTTTTTTGGTTCATTTAAATGCATATAAATGCGTTATCTTACGCACATAGCATATTGTTACATCACAGCGGCATAGATTGTTCGCACGAAAATTCGAAAAAGTTGATACAATGTATAATCTATTAATAAATATTTATTTTTACAATACAAATAATTCTTAGTTACGTATTAGATAAAAAACAAAAAGTTCGAATTTGTCTATGCCATTAGTATTTACAAGAATTCAAAAAAAAAAAGTTAATATAAACATAGAAAATAAAGGGTTCATTACAAAAGGGAAAGAAAAAATCTAGATCTTATCAGATGCTTGATAATGACCGTAAGGATTATTTTCTCTTCGAAGCGATGGGTCACGAATATTATAAATTTCGTAGACATTTGAACGAGCAGATAATTTTTCAGAGTTTTCTGAGGCTCGACGGTATAATCGAGAAAAATCACGAGGATAACTATGATGATATTGATAATGAGGATCTTGACGTGGTTTGATTGCTAAGGTTTTTTTTTTTTTTTTTTTGTCAACAAAAAATGGTAAAAAATGTAAAGATCATTGAAAAACTTTGTATGTATGAATCTTACTCTGCGAATTATTATCAAGTTTTGCATATGTTGGCAAGGCAAGAACTAATATGGCTATAATAACTGTTGCCAACAATACAAAAAATTTAAATTTCTTAATCTTTCTTGGTATAATTTTTAGGAAAAATTTCGTAGACATTGTTTTTTTTTGCAACTAGTAAGAAGTCGCTGTTAGAGGCAAATCATCGTGGGAAAATACAAATGCTTATCTTAAACAATATATTTTACCTTCCTTTATAAAAACAATGGAAAGCTTTCAAAAAATAAAAAATAAAAAAGAATAATATGAAAATAAAAGAGTCGAAATAGATGGGATTTAAAACAACAATTACAATTTAAAATAATATTATCTTAAATAAGAACTTCTTGCTAAAAATTTTTCATTTTACATAAACGGCATAAGTAAGGAAAAAAAAAGTCTTTCGAAAAAAAAGGTGTAACATAATGGTGCAGCGATAATCATAATAGCTTTCTGGAAACTAAAATCACCTTTCGAGTTTGGTTTCATCCACTTAGTGTTACAAACGTTTCCAAAGATGACTAAAAGAGGTATAACCAAACTTAAAAGTCGAACGTCATATAAAAAAAAAAGTTTAATACATATGCTTAATGTCAAAATTGACTAAACCATAGAATATTGACTAAACCATAGAATATTGACTAAACCATAGAATTATTAAGATATACGTATAATTCTTATTCTTAAGAAGACCAAAAAAAAAAGGTGAACTTTGTATGCATAATTCTGTGCTTAAATGCATTGATCGTGTTTTACTTTTTTAAATCAAAAACAATGTTAAGGATTTTTAACATCCAATAATAATGATAATAAATAAATAAATATATATATAAATAAATATATAAAAAAAACTGGAAAAATCACTATATCAAGATCATGGGATATTTGTAATAAAAATACCCCGATCACTATATCAAGATCACGGGTATTTTTATCGCTATTTCCTTCACCTAAGTTAGGGGGGTCTTTCGTGTAATTTTGATCAAATTAGGGCTAGTGGTTGCATCGAAATCATCTATGCTCAGTCCCAATGTGTGAGGAAGATTGTTCATATCTCCACGAAAATCGGAAATTGTAACTTGATCCAGTTTTTCACATTGTGAAATAGCACTCAAAGGATTTACCGAAATCCTTGTAAAATCTATTTCATTCAATTGTAAGTATTTTAATTCTTTTTGTAAACTTAGTGCCTCAATGTATCTTTGGGCACTAGCGGTGCAACATTTTAATGTAAATTTAAATAGTTTTTGTTCTCTAATAAGTTTACTTAATAACATTATAATTTGTTCATCACTGTCATTTTTTTCGACAAGGTT